CCATCCCATCTAGTCTTGTCATATTTCAAGATAAAAGAAAATAATGCATTTGCAATTACCATTATGCAAAGTTTTAGTGTTATTTGCTACATTTTATAGATGTGTTTTGCCCGCACTTAACATCGTCAGTTTCAATGTATATGAATAAGATACATTTTGATTAATATGGATCCCTTTATAAGAATTTATCTGATCTACAACGCATTTCCGTACCCGTGTAATCATGGTCTTCCATAATAAAGTGCATCTGTAAAAGAGTGGCCCACAGGTGGGATTCGAGGGAGAGATCAACGAGGTGAAAGAGTAAAGGTAAATGAGAGCTTTATTATTCAAAAAACCCCTTTCAGAGGAGCACTAGATGCAGCGCCTAAAGGAACAATGTGGCTGTGTAACCCATGCCTGTCTGACTATAACGTCCATGTAGCAAGCTCCCGAGTTTGATGATGCTAGTGATTACGCCAGTATTGTCGATTTTCCTAAAACATATATACCCTACCTTCTTGTCAGAAATCTACTGCTCGCATTGTTAACATTTTAACACTATATTATATATCCCATAAAGCAATCTCCTCAAAGGGTTTCGAACAGGAAATATGCGGAGGTAAATTTACGCACTGAAGTATTAGGGCTATTATTTTGTGCTATAATGCTCAATTATCATTTAAAGAGCAAGTAAATGATTTGTTACTTAAAGTTGAATACGATTATGACCTTGCAGTTTTGGGGACGTTAATAATTTTACTAAGGATTTTGTATTCAGAAGGTATACAATAAGTGTAAGGTTGATTTATCCGGCTCTTTTCTAGCAATTTATTTAGAAGGCATGAAAGATGATGCGAGCAAGAAGTGTTGTGTACCTCAAAAATGTGAAATACATAAGAGAAAATTAGTGCGCACCACGATAATACCTTAAAAGTAATGGTACAAGAATGTAATATGTAATACGATGGCAGCTTTTTGTCAGCAAAAGTTATTAAGTATTTGTTATAAGTTTTCGGAAATCGTCTAATTGACAAATGAAAAGGAGGTACACTTTCGAATCCTGTGTTTATGGCGGTCTAGTTCGTCTTGTTTGTAAGAGGGGGTTTTATCATTTGGTCTATAAAATTGAATGTTGATCTTGAAAAACTTGCAAGTGATGTGCAATAGCTGTTGTGATCCTACTTAGTAGAAATGTCTGCTGTTATGTTTTGCGGATGGTTTTCCTTGGTGGGCATATCTGTTATTCCCAATAGACTTTTGTGATTCATAGTTGTAATGGAGTTCTCTAAAGTTTAGCAAAGGTTTTGATGGGATTTGGGGTTTAGTTTTGCACTAAATGGACTTCCGGCTTTAATGGGTTTGGTCTTGTTCCTTATTTGAACCAGCCATTTCTACCTGACGTTTAGTAAAATACAGCTCATTTTTTCAAAGTATGTTATTCTAGAGATTGTATCCTGCAATCGCACCTCTATGAAATCATTGTTTAATTCCCATTCACAGAGTTTGAACATTTGTATTCTTTAGATACCTTCTAACTTCATGCTAAAGTGGGTCTCGAAGTCGTCATAGATCTAAGTTATGGATGCGTTTTGTATCCTTATTTTAGACTATAGGTCCTAATTGCTGTAAATAATGGTAGGCACAAATCCGGGAGAACTGGTTCTCCACTCTCTTCTGAAGCAATTTGCTTCAATCTGTCAGTCCAAAGTCGAAAGTGCTATCGGTGAAAAAGTGGTAAGTTAGTTCTGCACAAAATTTTCAACTTTTCCTTTTTAAACACAGATAAAGTGTGCTCATTTATTGCCATGTCAGGGCAATGATCTAATCAAATGTATGCGCCTGCAAGAGGATATGGCCTTCCAGCAGTTGCTGGGCGCTCTCTACACTTGTGCAGAGCATGCGCTGCCCTGCCTTTTGCAGACGATCAACAAGTGGTACGACACACAGCACTCTAGTGGCGGGCTCTATCCCTTCCGCCGCGCGACTTCAAAGACCTCAGGAACTCGAAGTCACACCCTTTCGGCCGCTACTGGCCAGGCTCCTGCGTTAGCTGGCGGCCATGATCTCCTCATCCGTTCCATGCATGTCGAGGGGTCCAGTGCCGTTGTTACTTCCGGTGCCGGTGATGTCTCTGATACTATAGCCTATTCTAGTGGTGGCGCAGCTATAGCTGGGGAGGTGGGAAATGCTGTTCTGCCTCTATCTGGTGCTTCTACTACCCCTCTGGAATCCACCACTTCAACTTCGTGGCTCGCGATGTCCACTTCAGTACGCGAAAACATGGCTGAGAGAAGGGATGTAAGTTGGTTCAGTAAAAAGTTTCTTCAAATATGGCTTAAGGTTATTTCTGAAGTTTTTCCACTGCACTGTCCCCTCAATTGCGTATTGGGCAAGAGATGTTGAAGTCGTGCTCGGCTACTCTGAAAAGCTAAAGAAATATAAATTCATTTTAAATTACCCTGGATTTTGATTACTTTGGGGGTGTGAAGTCATCGCTTTTCGAATGTGCTTTGATTTTTGGTCGACGTTTTTTCACTGCTCGGACGATAATCATCAATAATGTCCGGTTTTGCGTGATTTCAAAATTCACCTTGGAGTTAAGTCGCGTTTTAGCTGTACTTTTCAATAGGTAGGATATATTCCTTCTTAAGTCGTCGTTGTTTTTAACGGAGAAAGTTAGTAATATCACGTAAAAAGATTAGTGTGTTCGAGTGTGGTTTGTCTTGAATCCCCAGCACAGTATTACAATTTAAAATGGCTCAAACTACATGAGCCTGAAGCAAGGTCTGACATGCAGTGTTGTTTTTTCAAAAATGCTTTTTTAAATAGTTTGAAATGTACTGCCTACACTTTTAGCTCTTGAGCCTCTATCCTACAAATCATATTTCAAAATTTACACGTTAAAGATTGGTGTAAAAACTATGCACCTAGATTCATCCTTCGACATGAGTGATAAGAGAGTAAGCTTTGAAGGTGTGGGCTGGAAAAATGGTGCCCATCTTCAAAGAATCAAGACAACTAAAAAAAGTCCTCACCAAACATGTTTGAAGATTGGCGAATGTCAATGCTCCAAATTGGAGGATAGGACAGGCATAATAATAGCTATGTACAGCACACTTCTTATCCTTGACTTTAAAATATTGAACTCAAGCACAATCTGTCGATGAGTCCCTTTTCTCCTTTTAACAAATCACTCAATTGCAATAAGTCCTTGTCTTTATCCTTCCTATAGCTATGCATCGACATCCTGTACTGTCAAGCGCTAACCTCTGTGCTGAAACAGCTGCCGTACCATCCTGGTCACGAGGAAATAATCAACAAAATTCTCGATCGGGCTTTCAAGCATTTTGAGTACAAGGAGAAGTGAGTCCTTCGCCCATCAACAATCTTCATTTCACCATGAGCCTTCCTTAACTGTGGATACTTTTGACAGTTTGCAGACGAAACCAAACGCAGAAAACATCAATACTGTGGCGGATATGTACGCGAAGGTGGTCGGCGAGTTGTCGCAGACGAGGTCAGCTACGCACACTACTTCTCTCAATTTGCATATCTATCTTTTTTCACGCATGCGTGCGGGTGATAGGAGAGGTATTCAGATGAAATCGGGATCGGGTTTACGAAAAAATTGATGAAATTTAAGCCGTAATCGTCATTACCTAGACCCTCCCTATAATTACGCACTTATCTGCAATTGTCCAACTAGTAAATGAAAAGCTTTGACATAGACTTGCTTTTGAGGCTGTGCTATCTCAGGCGAGTCCGTTTCATCTCGTCATCTGCGCTGAAATTCTGGTGAATTGTCGTGCTTCCATTGCTTTTATGCTCGTTTTAACTTTGGAGTGAAGCCGACCATCCAGATTTGGCCACATGCAATGCTAGGACCCAGAAAACGCTCCTACAACTCTATGCATCACTCAACTTATCTGCGCGGATCAAATGTGGAATGCTTTCTTGGTATCTGGCGGTAGTTAACATTTCGGAATCGTAAATGTTCGTAAATGATTGTGTTTGTCGTTGTCGTATCACGATTGTTCTCTTGTGTAGTTGATTTACGTGTCATGCTATGCGTCGATATGGTGTTCCACGCGCCGAATGTTTACTTAGCTGCCGAGGTTTTAATTAAGAGACCTATGGGAGCTTTTGAAGCTTAGACACCATTCCAAAGTCTTATTGCTGAGTGATTGCTGACTTCTGTACGAATGGATACTCCCGATTCCACTTTTTACTCATTAGCAAGCAGAAATCTGTGTATGAGCTGCTAATGATGCCTCCAACCTTAACAATCAGTGTCCAGACTGGTCCATTACATGCCCTATGTATTATTAATGCTTGGCAGCTAGCCTTCTTATAGCAGTAAAATTTGAAAAACTTTTTGATCTGATTTCCTCGTCCCCTTAGATTTAACCTCGTGCGACAACACTTTTCCACACGACTGGAACATCTGCGTGCAAAGGAGAGTAGTTCGCACACGATGCACAGCATTATCTCCCTCCTTATGGGTATGAAGTTCTTCCGCGTCAAGGCGAGTATTAATAAGCTTGCAGAAGGTTACTGTGTTTTTTGCGCCCTCTTTTTTATAATTCGGCCGATTGAAGTAGCAGTCATTACCCTGTCATCATTCTTAAAAGAAATTAAATCGACAGCAATCGGTGTTGGTTTTTGAGTAAGTTTCAATGCCTATGGTTCGTAGCAAATCGTTGTTTGCGTGAACCAAACGGTTTTTTAGCTTGCATGCCACCAACCAATATCTGATCTATTTTCAACCTCCTCTGCTCATTATTTTGTGAAAGCTGTTGTCTTATGGTGTTATTAATTTTACCGGTCGTATGCGGAATGAAGTAAGCTTTTAAAGGCTCTTCTGAAGTCTCTCTTTTTTAACCGTAAATAATATCCTTTGCCTTATGTGAAGAACTGAACTATTTCTTCCCAAAAAAACAAGATTTTCTAGTAGACTTTGATTTAATGATTCTAGTTGTTTATTCATTCCAAGAGTGGTGAAGTCGCGGTCATTTTGATCATTTTTAGACTGAGAAAGGTTGTTCTCCATTCGAGCTTTAAATGTTGGGCTTCAAGTCGAAAGGAGTCTAATTACCTCCATGACAGATTAAAACCTAGTAATTTTGTTCTGAGTCCAATCAATTTCTAAAATGACTGAGGGAGAATTCGAACTTTTTACCCCCGTATCAAAGTTAGTTATTTTATTCCAAAGGGTAAAGGGGCCTTAGTTCACCGCAGACTTTTGCTCATCGTTTATCCTCCTTGTTCTGAGCTTACGCCCCGTAATCCGATTAATTCACTTCCAAAGTTCAAAGTTCGCGTCTAGAAAGGGAGTTAATGCCGGCATACTGTGGGCTTGTTTGCTCGTAGACAACCCTACTCTCATCTTTCCAAACACTGTTCTTTAACTTTTCGAGTCATCTGCTTTTACGATTCAGTAATTTGTACCAGAGGAAAGTGAATCTAACCTACTTGAAATCTACGCAGTTTTAAATTCGGTCATTTTTTTCCAGTGTTCATAATCTGACAACCCTGAATCGTGTTGCAAAACGTTGGTTTAGGTCTGAAATAATAGAATATCTGTAGAATGTTCTCGATGTAAGAATAATTACATTTTTTTTTTGGTTTTTGAGTAGCTGTTAAATTGAACAAAATAAATAATGGTAATTTTTGTCATACTAGAACAATATAATAACTGGATGGTTGTGGTGGTCAATTTGCTTCTGTGGTCGCTGGTGAACTTGCTGAGGGAATCGGGTGTTTCTTGTCTAATGACTTAACTGAAACCCTGAGAATTTGCTGTAAATAGATTAAACAAACGTGTCGATGATGGAGTTGTTTGAGGCTAGCAGTTTGACTCCTTGCTGGTTTAGCTCGTTTACTTAGTTGAACACTTCATACTTAATGACCTACAACCACAAGCGTTAATCGAACCGCTAACTGATACTCATGAGTAGATACAATGTACCCAATGTCAAAGCGCTCGTCTCAGTCATTTTAATCATTCTCCCATTGGTTCGGATGTTTTACCTCTAGTGATATAACATCGCAAATAACCCTCAGATTACTAATTGTTGATCGTAAGTAGATGGTTTCAGTGTAAAAATGAAATTTACTAATTGGCTGTTTTATGCTCATTTGTCAACCCTTCCGTTAGTTCATCCAAACTGTGCTTGCGGTTTTATTTATCATTTCTAGGGTTCATCATCTCTAAACGTGTAGTAGTAATGCATCTACGTAATAACTCAAAACCATGTCCATTTGGCGCATCATTGGCTCTCCTCACTTTATTGAGGATTTCACGGTTTTGGCCCACAATATCTACCCAAAACAGCGGAACTTTAATTAACCGGAATTCTTTCTCCCCACCAACAGATGCACCCGATCGAGGAATTTGTGAGCTACTTTACCTTTTTGCACGAGTTGGGTCAATACTTTCTCGAAGTGAAGGAGAAGGAGATCCGTCATGCAATGACATGCCTCTTTGTGGAGATTCTTCTACCCGTTGCTGCTGTGGTGCGTCATGAGGTGAACATCCCGGCACTGAAGAACTTCGTCGATCTGCTATACAATCCTGCCTTCGAATTGGCAAACAAGAAAAAGCATGCTCTGGTGGGTGGTGTTGGATTTTGGAGGATATTTTTTGTGCTACTGTTATGTTGCATTTCCTTACCATTTCCGTTACTGGCGCCACAGATATGACACCCCAATTTTCTTACCTGAGGCCCCAGGTCACACGTATATGTAATCAAGAAGGATGTACTTGGAGCGAACGAAAAAAGCGAATTACTAAAAACTAATGTTGCACTGAAATAAGAAACCTCTGAACTCCGGTGTTTGATTCCCCCTTGATGTCCTGACAGCGAGCAGATTAAGTATCTGTCATGGTTCTTTCCCAAGAATTAACCTCCTGGATTGATGTTTTCATAAGGCGCCAGTTTTGGAAACTGCGGATTGGAGTATTTTGGTTAAAATCGATACGTGTTTTGGAAGACTTCGATGCTCCTTATATGCTCCTTGCTTTTTCATTAGTTATCGGCCTCTATCTGCAATTGACACCTAGATTGCTGCCATTGTGTAATCTTGGCATTTAAAGTATTTTTTTGGCATTTTATTGAAAATGACTTGACGTTTTGTAACGTCAACGAGTCATTTATCATTCTCAAGCGATCAAAATACTTTGCATTTACTTTAATTTTATGATTTTTTTAAAAAATGGGTCGATAAGACCCACTTTTCTATCAACAATTGTGTCTAATTGTCTTACTATTAGGGTCATTATCAGATCCGTAAAAGTGAGTCCGCCCTTCATCATTAGCGCCTATCTGATGTATAAGACTCAGAATCTTTGGGATTGCGGATTAGGTACCTGAGTGCTTGCACATGCGTTACTATGTCACTTATCCAGACACCAGAGTAGCGGAGAGGATTGTATTTCTAAAACTCACGCTATGGTGTTTCTGCAGCATGTTCAGTTGTTGAGCATTCGGTTTTCGTAGTCATGGCTGTGGCCGACTGGGCGTCATGCTTCGCATCCGTTATTCCAGTAGAAAGGTCATTTTCAGACTTGCCGAAACCATTCGACAAGGCAGATTGATTCTCACGCTAAAACACACGAAAGTTATTTTTCGCTCGCACTAAAAGCATAGTTTAGAATGCTGCGTTTCGTTCATTACCGAATTTCTGTGGCAAGTTTAGTGCATTCCTTCATCGGTGAATGGCAAATGTTACACCAGACCATGGGGTAATTTAGCTGCATTCGCAACATTGAACCAAAATTCTTGATAAGAAGCTTTCTTAAATTAAATTTTGAGAAGTGCTTTTATTTGTGCATATATTTGCCTTATTGTACCTTGTAGGCCCTTTTTCCCATGGTCACTTGTCTCCTGTGTGTGAGTACCAAGGTCTTCTTCCTCAACAACTGGCCTCCATTCATGTCGTTGTGTTTGAGCCAACTAAAGAATCGTGACCTGGGCCAGGTCAGTGTGGAGTCATTGTTTCGTCTGCTCTGGTAAGCGCTTTCCTCTTCAACTCTCTTCCCGCCCTGATGTCACCAGTTGTTGACTTTGGGGTTTAGGAATGGCTGGCATTGGTGGGTACGGCAGAGCTGAGAAACCTAAATAAATCAGCGTGATTGGGACCATAAGCTGAAAGCACACTGCCATGCGGTATGCGGTTTGTCTCCGACGCTTCTCTAACACGTATGAGCCTGAAGGTAACTTGATGAAGTACTGGGAAGCCATTGGCGTTGCTCTTTACCACCAGCTTGTGGGTGCGATTCGCAGGACACTGTATGTAATTAAAATAAGCATCATCTTTGTGCCTACCGTTTGCCGTGTCTTAGTCGTCGATTTTTGGGCTCACTGGTGTTATTCCTTTGCAATCGGGTATCATAGCAGCACTAGAGCGAATTAAGCAACTTCCAGGTAGAATCGTTTGTCTACTACAGTGGGAAATTTTTGAAAGATGTGGATCCCGAACCCTCGATTATCAAGTACACTACGATGTTGGAACTTTCAGCTGCTCAGCGGCAAGACCTTTGGGTGGTGTCAATTTTTTGAAGATGGTTCTACGTCTGTCAATGTTCATCCTTGCTGTGGTGCCTTTCAGTCCAGTCTCTGATTTCTGCCGTGAAAACTCGGTCTGCACTTGGGACATCTAATCGATGTAGAATCTCTAGTTGTGAATTTACACTAGAGACGAACGAACGTTGTTGGAACGGTGAAGATAGTCATGCACGAAGAGTTAGCGCGGACCGGTCTTTAAATTTTTTATCTGTACTGACCAATCTTTCCATCTCAAAGTTGGTTTAAAAATATCATTTAAAAACCAGAAGTTAAGTTAATGGATGTGGCAGGAGAATATGTCGGATGAGCAGATTCGATCAGCGCTATCTAAAATTTTCCCCTTTTATAAATGCACAGTTCCCCCTAGGAATTGAACTATCATTAAGTGCGTAG